AATAGTAAGGATTGCCTAAGTTGAAAATGTTGTGAAATGACATGTTTTTGGAATGCAATCCAAAACAAAATGGTGGCCATTTCTGCAACACAAGGTAGCATGTTACACGCCTGAAAATGCATTTACAGTAGAACCTCAGTTAGCAAAGGCGCCAGCCAATGAAGAAAATCAGTTAATAATAAAGACTTTTCAAATGACCTGTCCCAGCAAAAAATTTCACTCAACAAAGAATTAATGCATCATTAGTCATCTCAAAAAATTGTGCATAGAATGTCATAGATAGAATTGTTCAAGGAAGCATAGAATGAAAAGTAATTAACCTAAAATATGATATATATTTCTACAAAAAATGTGATGCTTGTTTTGTTACTAGAATATTCCTTTGTATCTCAGGTATGTTTTTTTACAATCTTTTTGTTTTTGTTTTAGTGACCTAATTCACTTGACCCAATTAAAATGGAGTCAAATTACAAGCCTAGTCCTTTCAGCTTGCAGAGGCAATGCTATATGGCTGTTAATATGAAGCTTGCCGTGGACAAGGTAGTTATCAATGGCATGGAAGTTTTTTTTTTTGGGGGGGGGGAGGTTTTGAAGTGTTGAGCCCTGTCCACACACTCGAACTTATTGTCAGTCTTGCATATCATGCCAAAGTTTGACTAACAAGACGGAAGACTGACAAGCATTCACACTATTCAAACTTTCCTTCAGTCTTTAGCGCTCTTAGCAATGGAGGAGCTAGTGCTGCTTGCTGCAGTGATCTCAGTTTGTGCCACCAAAATAAGGTTAAAATATTGCAAATGTATATGGTGGTCCCGAAAATGGCGGTAAAAAAATACCGCAATGAGGGTTGTTAGACAGCATCCCTACTAGCACCAGGCTGCATTGACAACTTCATTTTGTTACCTTTTCAATAAAGATTTTATTTTCTATATTACATATTGGCCTATGCACTGGCTGCATAGGCCAGTGTTCTCTTGTTCTTGTCACTGTAGCTTTTTGATTGAATTTAGCACAAAACAAGGGTAACTATGATATAATTCAATAAACGTGCCAAAAGAAATTGTGAAACCAGTGTTGGATATCTTGATATGGAGAACTAGAGCTAGCAAGGAACAATTCACAGCTCTCAACATCAATATAGACTGAGATAGAGTAAAAGTTTGGCCAATTAGTCGGTTGCCCATCCACATTCTCAAACTTATCCGTCAGTCTTGCATGTTCCTGAAGGACTTGCCCGTCCATCTTTTCCAAGTTTGTCAAATCTCAAACTCCGCCCACTCATCATGCAACACTTCAAACTTTGAGCGTCTGCACGCTCCGTCTTGTCGTCAAACCTGGCATGACATGCAAGACTGACATGATAAGTTTGAGCGTGTGGAGAGGGCTTTAGGTATAGAATGGAAAAAAGTTTTTTGATGAAAAATGGAGATGGTAATATCATCAATAATAGGAAAACAGGGTCAAATCACAGAAAACATCATTATTATACATCTACAAAAGAAGGGGAGGACTTTGGAGTACTGTTAGTAATGGATGAGTACACTCTGAATGCATCAAATGTTTAAGGAGGTTGATAAGTTTTATTTCAAGTGTCCTGAATTACCCAGGTCTCAGGGGGTAATTTGGGACACTTTTTTTTGCACCTGGCATCTTACGAATAGCATGTGGAATTTTTTCAGAGATGCCAAATGATAGCCCTAACAAAAGAGCTTTAAAATGAGCTCAAACTTTAGGAAATGTTTCATGGTAAGAAGTAAGGAGTGAAATGTTTACAGTAAGAAGAAATCAGGGTTGGCAATGATTAAATCAAAATGATTAAATCATGTGATTAAATCACTTGATTTTTTTATAAAAAAATCATGATTTTTTTTATTTTTTCGATTTTTTTGATTTATTTGATTTTTTCATATATTCAAATATATTGAGTGGCAGTCTTTAATTTATATTGAGGTATTGTTATTCATGGTTTAGCATAAATGTACTATGAATGACAAATTGGTATATAAACTTGTTGCCTTTAGTGTGTATTAGGTTCAAATAAATTGAATGTTTTTGGTACAGAGCCATCAAGTGTGCAGTACATTGTACGTAGCTAGCAGCTTAGCTAATTCTTATAAGGCTATAAGTAGTCTTTAACTATTTGACTATTTGTTATATATTGATTACAATATACAATTTAAATGTGTTAGCTAGCTTATACAGGGTGGGGCAGAATTGATTGAACAGTTTTGAGGCAAAATAAAAGAGTAATGGAGGTACATAAAGAAAAAAGTTTATTTTCCTCAACATTAGCATAACATACAATTTAAAATACTTATGTTTTGAAAACAATATCAGGAAATTGGGGTTTGTTAGCTGCATCACACTGTTGGAGTCGTTCTCGGGAGTTTTCTACAGCGCGTTCACACATATGGCGAGGTATGGCCATAACCTCTGCTGCAATAATCCATTCCCTTAGCTGTGGTAGGGTGTGAGGGTGACTTCTGAACACCCTTTCTTTTAGATGTCCCCAAAGAAAGAAATTGCAAATGCTCAAATCAGGTGACCTTGCAGGCCACTGCAAATCACCCCTATGAGAAACCAGACATCCGCGAAACATGCGTTTCAAAAGATTGAGTGACATTCGGGCTGTGTGAGCTGTAGTCCCATCCTGCTGGAACCACACGTCTCCCAATGCTTCATTTTCAACAATGTTTTCCATCATGGACTGCAAGAAATTTTGCAACATTGCAGCACAGCGATTGGAATTCACTATCACGGTTACTCCCTCCTCCAAGAACAACTCCAACAGTGTGTTGCAGCTAACAGCCCCCATCTTTCAGATATTGTTTTCAAAACATTAGTATTCTAAATGGTATGTTATGCTAACCTCTAGGAAAATAAACTTTCTTCTTTATGTACCTCCATTACTCTTTTATTTAACCTCAAAACTGCTCAATCGGTTCTCCTCCACCCTGTATATTGGGAGGTTGAGATTGTATTGACCTTTTAGGCAATTAAAAAGATTTTCCACCCTAATACCTACGAGTATTCTAATTAAAATATTTAATTTCAATCTTTAAATATGTGAATTTAAAACTAGAAACAGAACAATTACAATAATAAAACTATATATAATAATAATTTAATGCAGTGAATGGATATAAAAGATTTGAATTGTGCACATGTTCATTTCAAACAGTATTAGATTTTCTTATAACTTAAGTCTCGTTTCAAGTCGTATGAGGTTTGTTTGGTTATCGTTCAGTTTATGTTTAGTATTGGTTTATTGGTCTGAATTAAATGGGAACAGTGCAGTCAGTCACTCAGTCACTAATAGTCGGTGTGTATAGAGTGTAGAGTCTGGTAGATTTAAAGGACATAAAACTAGTAGAACTATTGATAGTGCTGTGCACTGTGCTATCAGCTACAGTCACTACTAGTCGGTGTGTATAGAGGGTAGAGTCTGGTAGATTTATTTGTTAGTAGGCTAACTGCAACATAAAAAAATAACACTTCAAATAGACAAAAAAGTTGAAAAAATCAAAAAAATCAAATAAATCAAAAAAATCATGAAAAAATCAAATAAATCATTGATTTTTTATTTTTTTGATTTTTTTAAAAAATCAAAAAAAATCGCCAACCCTGGAAGAAATGTTTCATGGATCAATGAAAAATAGAAAAAGCATCCCTCATTACCCTGTATGATGGCATTGGTTCAAAAACCAAAAAAATATTTTCTCTCAAATTAGGCAGATATTTTTGAACTGACTATTTACTATTCTGAATCAAGTCTGAATATGTGTATGAATAGCCTTTACTCTAATTTCACTGTAGGCTCCTGGCTACCAGGCATGAAATATTTCTACTTTTGATTTTTGAAGCTGCAAGTAGAACATTCTTGTGATTTGCAATGCTGTAAGATTTTTGCTATATGAATTGACTGATAAAAAGAGCGCACAATTGAGATATTAAAGTTCATCAGAATGTGTCACTTTGGAGCCATGAGATTTCTGTTCAAAATTTTCAATCATGGCTATCTTGTATTTCCATTTAAAGAAATTCATGATTACATATTTAGAGTTGAAGCACTACAGAAATTTGGCTCAAATAACTGATGAAAATGCATTCCTGTAGCAGTTGAAACCATCTTAATTGGCAGAGGAACACTTCACATGGTATATATGTTTTAATCTGTTGATTAATTTAGAGCTAGTGATGTGGTGCAAAGCACAGATGCAAACCCATGAAATTTGCTCTTTGAAGTACCCTGAAATTAGAAGAGTTCACTCTTAAATTTTCATATTATTTGTATTTTTCGTTAGTTTGATGAAAAAACTTGAAAATTTTCCTGACACTTAGTGGCAAATCACAAAGGGCTGCTGAGCAACCAAAAAATCAAAATGAATTGATTGAATAAAGAAATGTCTCAAAAAAGATGACCTTGTTATCATTAACATTTCTTTGTTTCCAAACCTGGTTGTTTCATTACTTCCATTGCTGTATGACATGAACACAATGGTAACACCTATATTTTTGGGTATGGAAAATATAAGTTACTTGGAATGATACACAATTAGCTGTAATATGTATGATGAGACTAAAATACATAATTTCGGTTTTAATGAATAGTGGAGTGCATTTTGAAATGAATAGTTGCACAGGTAAGTGATGTAACATTGCCATGATGTTTAATTGCAAGATGTACCACTGAACTGCAGCCTGTCGTGTCAAAAACTGCAGCCTGTTGTGTCAAAAACTGCAGCTGTCATGTCGAACACTGCACTGAGCTCTTGCAGAACTTTAACAGGTTATAGAATTTGGTATTCATGAGTTTCAATATGGGGTATCTAAAAAGTCGTGAATATAATGTTATAGTAATAGAGAATGTACCTCCATTACAATTTTTGCCAGGTACTGCCAATTTTTTCACAAGTAGATATTATTGCTATTTTTAAATTATACTTTTTGTTTTTATGCATATGACTTGTTTGTAATTAAATGCAAAAATTTGCCTGCAGGGTTTTGTGAAGGTTGTGAAGAGCAAGGCGTACTTCAAGCGGTTTCAGGTTAAATTCCGCAGGCGTAGAGAGGGCAAGACTGACTACCATGCTCGCAAGAGGCTGGTCATCCAACCCAAGAACAAATATAATGCCCCAAAATACAGGTAAAATTGCTGTTGTACTTCTTGCTGTTCAATAATCCCATACCCTTTGTGGGTATTATGTTCCAGACATTGACTTTGATAGGTGAAATCTGTGACGAGATATTGATTGAGATTATTATAAGTAATTATATTGCTATTGTTTTAAGTGTTTGTAAATCCTTCCCACACTCTACTGCTTAAGTTCTGTGGCTGATAAAATCTTCTGATTGACTTCTTCAAAAACCTGCAAACAAGTGTAAGTCCGAGAGTGATTCTTGTTGAAATTTCTTGAAAATCTACAATGAAGTTAGGCCGTGGTAGGTGGAGTGCAAAAAATCAAGGGGTTACTATGAACATGCTATGAATTTTGGTCAACTATCTAGGGTAAAGCTATTTACTATCGAAGATATTCCTGTTTCGTGTCAGTGGCCATTGTGCTATGGGCAAGGAGTCAAGAATAATTAAATTTTCCTGAAGTACAAGTTTATCAATACAGTTGCTAATCCTACAAAATATTGAATGAAAATAATTTTCATTATTGAATACAACTTGTATTAGTAAATAAAATTTTTCAACTATTGTTTGGCTGTTGGAATTTCGGATCAATCTCATTACCTGTGATACATTTTTTGTATCTCAGGCTCCATAATTGACCCAGAGAAACTTCAGCTGGAGCTTCAGTGGCTTATAAGTTCACTTTTTGTCTCTGGTTGACACAAATTATTCCACTAGTGCCTGATATACAATACTTATTGATGCTGAAAGTTAGTTTTGTAGAATTGAATTTGCTTTGCAAGTTCTCGTGTTTGCTTTTCAGGATCATCGCTCGTATCAGCAACCGCGATGTGACTGCCCAGATTGCTTATGCCCGCATTGAGGGCGACATCGTGATCATGTCTGCCTACAGTCATGAGCTGCCCAAGTATGGAGTCAAGGTCGGCCTCACCAACTATGCGGCTTGCTACTGCACTGGACTTCTCCTCGCCAGGCGGGTGAGTTCTTCCTTCTCTAGCACTGTGGGCCGTATGAAATGTATATTTGCAGCGTGTTGTGTATGATGTTGATTTTTCTACATTTGTTTTTGCCCAGTCTGTGTTGAAAATATCTACTGACTTAGATCTTTAGGATTCTCAACCATCTGAAAACTTACACAAACTTTTAATGTTCTGAGTTAATTATTGCTTAAATTGATTGATTTACCGTCAAACTATGCTCTATATTCGACTCCATTTAATTAAGAACTTGCTCATGACTGTACCGGTATACAAAATATCGAGCGCTGCTTGTGCTGTTCTATTCATTTTTCCTGCCATTATTGAATGATGATCCTTCTTACCCTTTCTGGTTTGTTCACTTAATTAAGTTCATAATTCATCGGACAAATTTTCTTAACAATCAATCCATGCAATTGGAAGATTCAAAAAAATTTTAACTTTATTTGGAAAGAAATAAATTTTGTCATTGGATGTAATTAGACTTGCAGCTTCATTGTTGTAATCAATTCCTTCGTGTATATTTCAGTAAGTTATTTGCTGGCCAGCTCTGTATTGTGCTTCCTACTCAGTGTTGAACCTCTAGCAGCAACGTTTTGTTGTTGTTTGGGGCGTGGAGCACCCCAGTCTGGCCTATAGTAAATCCTCAGTAGTCATAGTACCGATATGCTAGGGCTGTTCGGCCACCATCCTGAGGAACAGCATTTGATCTGTGCTTATCTTTTGCTTTGCTTCTGGTTTTGTTTGTTAAATTAGTGCTTTGCTCAGTGTAGCGGCTTGAATTATTTTTAGGCCAGCATCTAAGTCACGATCCAATGCTGGTAAATGTAAAATTTTGCTGTGTATTGAGATGTTGATTAGAATTCACATCACTTTTTTTTTACTTGTTCAGAAGAATGAAGGTTTTAATCGTCGTTGAGAGCACTCTCACGCTGAATGTCTCTTGCAGATCCTGACAAAATTCCACTTGGCGGATAAGTACCCCGGGCAGACGGAGGTTGATGGTGAGATGTACTGCGTGGAGGATATCGAGAAAGGCCCTGGTGCCTTCAGAGCTCATCTCGACGTGGGTTTGGCCCGCACCACCACCGGCGCTAAGGTCTTCGCTGTCATGAAGGGCGCTGTTGATGGAGGCATTGATGTTCCCCACAGGTCAGTGCCGTTCTACTTGAAGTATCATGGTCCTAAATAAGTATTTTATGGCCCTGAGAAAAGTAATGGTCGAAAAAAATAGATGCAAGGGACGCGATATTCAGTTGCCATTGACTAAAATGTCTACGGATTTTTTTCAAAAACTTTTCTTTGTGGTTTTATGCATTGCTAGTGTTTCAAATACCACGGTTGAATTTTCATTATTCTAGGTTCTATCTTTTTCATTTTCATTGCAGCTTTCTAACCTACCGCCTCGCAAAATTTTTGAAAATTGTATGCTGTAAGAGCTAAGGTTTTGTTGACTAAACTCATGAGTTACTGCATGTGAACAGCGAGAAGCGTTTCCCGGGATTCGACGCCGAGACGAAGGAGTTCAACGCGAGTGTGTTGCGTGATCACATCATGGGCACCCACGTGGCCAACTACATGCGCCGGCTCATGGATGAGGATGAGGACGCTTACAAGCGCCAGTTCTCCCGCTACACCAAACTCGGCATCACAGCTGATGATGTGAGTGTGATCGTCATTTGCTTTGCTTGCTTCACTAATTCGGTCGCGACAAAAAACTTGTTTTACCTAAAATGTTTTATCATTGAAATAGATTCAATCGTGTTTAGGGTGTACAAATCTAACTCGTTTGCCTTGAAACGTAGTTCTGATGGCATTAACTCCTATGTGGTTAAGAATAAATCGCTTGAAATTTTGTTTTTAGAATTTCATATGTTTATTAATATTGATTTTTCAGATGGAGGAAATTTACAAGAAGGCTCACCAGAAAATCAGAGAAGATCCTGTCAGGGTTAAGAAGGAAAAGAAGACGGTGAGTGTTGATTTACGATATTTTGAGCTCGATAGGTTGAAATAATTTTCTGCAAAACTCGATAAGTTGAAATAATTTTCTCGTCCATGGCTCCTACATTTATTAAAATGAACTGTTTGTGATTGTTTTTTGAGGGTTGTTGTCAGTGAGGAAGCACATTTTTTTCTGCACAAGACAAACATGGTAACCTGTAAAATATGGGATTCAAATCTGATTTATCTTAAGAACACGATTTATTTTCAGTTCGATGTTGTGATTATGCTCCTGAAAATTCCTGCTAGATTGACTGATATGTGATTGCTATTTATTTCGGTTGTTCTGAACTCTGTTTCCATTTGATACAGTACGCGAAGCCCAAGCGCTTCAATCCCAAGAGGCTGAGCCGCAAGCAGCGCCAGAAGAAGGTCACGACCGCCAAGAAGCAATGGCTTGCCAGAATCGAGAAGAACAAGGCGGCTGGCAAGACCCTGAAGATCTAATCTTCATAAACTGGCCCAGAGAAATTTGAATTCATTTATCCTATCACGTTATTGAATTGTCCATCGAACCATCCCTTACATGGAACAGCTTGACATTCTTGAGCACTACTGTTCATAAGGATTTGTACATTAAACTTTGAAATTATTGCATGCCATCTCGTTCAACCGAGATTGTTCAGAAAATTTAAAAAGTGCATTATGATCGAGAGGTATTGCCATGGCAAACGGAATGAACATAACTAAATAACGTGACATGCTTTTTTTTTTACAAAGCAATGATGATGAACGCGAATTACGCTGTCTGGAAATTTAAATGACGAAGTTGAACTATTTTACAAACATTGTGTAAACTAGATTGCGATTTAGCTGGACCTTATGTGAGCAGGTAGGTTTCGATGATCGTATGCATTGATAACTGGTGTGGCCTTACTTCAAACGCATATTTAGAAGTGCACAAATGACTGATTGATCCCACTAGAGTCGAATGGAAGGGAAAAATCAGTTACCAGGGTGTGAGGTTCATCTGAAATCAGCATTGAGACTTCGCTGCTGTAATAGCCTCCACTGAATGGCACGTTTCGTGGCGACACGGTAAGTCTTTTCGTCGGTAGTCAAACCCGAAACTCGTTTCTCAATTCGTTCTATTCAGCAAGGTGATCGGACGCTGCCTACGGAATAATATTTCCGGAACACTAGTTCTCTTTTTTGTTGTAATATAGTTCACTGCCAAAACGAAATAGCTCAGCTAATGTGAACAAATTTGTCAATATTCCTCTGGCTCATCGCACGTGCCCCAAATAGAATGTTTGTGCGGCTCTGCAGCAATATATTAATTGCTAGCAATATTACATTGTTGAATATTTTTTTTCAACAATTTATTCCACATTCCTCACACCAATAATATTCGGTGTTCCAGAGTTGAATACGTGAGCTACTACATATTGGAAATGGGAGCTTTTTCCATTAAAGTGGTCGAATAACACTGAGCAACTGGGTGAAACTCGATACAGCTTCACCTGAAATTCCACCGAACGGGTAGGGCATGATCATGAAAAGGAAAGGCAAGCGTGGAAAAGTGAAATGGAAAGTATAATCATTCCTTTATACAATGTTTATTGTGTCATCAAGATACAGTAAACTTCTGGAGAACTTGATCGGTTGTTTCTTGGCATTGTCGAAGTAGCCGCAACTCTGGACGCAGTTATACCATCGACTGATGTTGCACAGACGTTCCTAGATACGGTAAAGGAAATTCAACAAGAATACCTTAACACTTCAATCTAAGTTAAATTTTGTTTGTAAGAAAAATCGGTGCTTTCGCGCAACCACCTTTATTATTGGTACTGCTCTGCTGACACTCATAATTTATGTCGCACTCCAGAAAAATCATATCACATTGGACACGTCCATATGAATTGCAACTAAAATGAAACGAAAATTCCAGCATGGTTGCAGCCTGTCTCCTATACTCACGCTCAATATTTTCTTAATTGACATTTATAGTTCACTGTTCGGATTGGGGCGTCAAAAATACAAGTTTGCATGATGTACGTAGTTATTCATACCTTTTGATGATACGTCCATGTCGTCACGAAAGGTTGCAGTAATAAGAAGAAAAGCAAGTCCGCCACGGTGAGCGAGAAGCCGCAGAGATAATCGCGATTTGACAGCTCTTTGTTAACATATTGTAGTTTTCCCAGAAATTCCTGCAAAGTAAATCATCAGTCTTATTAGTTCCAAGACTTGCTTATTAACAGAAGAAATGGACTGACGACAAAGCCTGACTCAAGTTGCCATGCTCTATTAGTCAAATAGAAAAGCTTAACCTTTCTGGAGAATTCCGTACGAACCTAATTACTAAAGTTACGACGTTTTTGGCAATACCCGAACATCAAATGATGAATGTATAACAGTTGATATGCGAAAAAATAATAGATTAACACTTACGTTGATCGGAGTATACGCCGCCAATTAGTATACACAAGAAGCTGAGTTTGGAATCACTTTAAAATAAAACAGAGAAACAATCTCAGCCACAAAAGCGCATTCAAAAATATAAAATAAACGATGCGATGGATAATTCATTATTTACTGAGAGATTTTATTTAATGTTGAGGGATAAACTCTTGCGCGACGCCACATTCATGACAGGTAAGCCAACAGCCCGAGAGCGGGGAAAACGGCTAAAGGGTGCGTATCTTACCTACACAACTGAATTCACCGATGAGATCCGCAAATATTTACAATACCACGAAATACAAAATTTCCTGAAATGAGTTATTTTCGATAGTCACGCCATTCACATGCGACAAGTGAATCCATCACTAAAACGCTGGTAACTCACGAATAGAGATAATTAGTCTAGCTTATTTTGAATAATAATTGAAAAATTGTGCAGCCCTGCGCGTAGTTTCAGTTGATTGTTGGCTTATTGATTCTTCAATATTCAGTCCACTTTATCAGATTTTAGTGACTCGTGTGTAATTGACAGTAGGTTGAATAATAAAGAAATGCCAACATTTCCGAATTAGACTCATAACATAACATAGTGATGTCGGCGCTGAAGAGTAGGCCTGATGTGACCTGTCGCCGATTCTTTTACTTTTCGTGACTTGCTCACAGAAGATCTAAAATCGTGTCATTTGACCGGATCTTTTCAGGACTGACGCATGTTATAAATAACTTGAAAATTAATTTTTAGCTGCGTTTCCTCATGTTCAAAAGCTGGACTCAAGCAGAGGGCACCTGCAACATTCAAATAAGAAGCTTTTCCTTTCTCAATTTATAATAAAATTATTATAAAAGACAAACTGTGACCTTATTTTTCAGTTGATTGTTGGCTTATTGATTCTTCAATATTCAGTCCACTTTATCAGATTTTAGTGACTCGTGTGTAATTGACAGTAGGTTGAATAATATAAAAGTCAAACTGTGACCTTATAATTTGTACATATGTTGAAGAAGTTAGGGATCTTCCAAGAAATTCTACATGTTTGGGTAATGCCACAAACATTGTAATTTTATCATTAGTTCTGTAACACTTTGAGAAAGGTAGGTTAATTAGCCTGCATCAAAGGAGGTCCTCATGGGTCCATGGGCAACTATATATATATACCTCCGAGTTTGCACTGAATGAACTATGAGCCTAGAGGTTTACAATTTTTGTACCTGCAGAGAAGTGCAGTGGGCAAGGTGTAGCTGTAAGTATGTAAGCCAATGATGAACCAAGCTCTGCTGCAACAAGTCCAATCCTTTGAGCCTTGAACAATCAGCAGGAATAACTTGAAGACAGGCCATCACCAAGCTACCATCATTGCCTTGTGCAGGGTTCTGTGTGGGAAAAATGACACTCAAAACTCAACCAGAAACTAATGCAATTATCACATCAACATGGTCTGCTACAAGAAATTTAACAGGTTGACTGCAGCTCAATGAAAACCAACAAAACTACTGAGATTTTTCATGAATATTACCCAATTAGAGATAGCTGACAAAATAAAATGAGATGCACTTTGGAGAACACTGTTCACTCATAATTAAATGAGATTTGATATTGAAAAATAAACCAGGAAATAGCTTCCAAGCGGGTAGCTGACAAAATAAAATGAGATACACTTTGGAGAACATTGTTCACCCATAATTAAATGAGATTTGATTTTGAAAAATAAACCAGGAAATAGCTTCCAAGCGGGGAAAATTAATATTAAGAGTGGTAAATAGATTTATCATTTAGGCACATTTTACCACCAATTAAAGGAAACTAACAATGTGATCATTCGAATCCACTGCAATTTTTTACAAGACCTTTTTGATGTTCAAATCTGGATCATATTCTGACCACAACTCAAGACTGGTGCACACACCACTTATGAATGCACCAAAACTGCCCATGTCTATAATAAATGTCACTGGTCCCTTGCTAACATACACCATGGAAATGAAGTAAGTACTAAGTACCAATTTACATTTACCTAAAACTAATAGAGAAATCCTCCCAACATTTCAGGTCAGTCATATGCCTCAAATGAACCCTGGCATCTTTGAGGCAACAATTTGCAACTATTGACTATTCTATGTCTAATCAAGAAAATGTATTTTCTACGTATTTAAACGGGATTTTATGGCTGATGTCATCCATTAATTGGTTTTGCAGCCCTGTAAACACAGATTAAGTAACAAGTTCATTTTTATATTTCAAATATCTAATTTATACAAGGAATAGAAACCAAAATATTTTTATTCACCTTAGAAGCAAGGCAATTTTGGACATGATAATATATAATTTTTGTTATAGTTTAAGGTACATACATAATCGTTTTATACAGACATGACTAACAATAAGTACATCGATGATAATATTTTCTTGAGGGGATGACAAATTTGTGAGTGTTGTAGTACTACAAACAAACAGCAGGTCCAGAATTTTAAATCATCTTGCAATAAACTATTTGTGAATTGTGAGCAGAAATATGGTCAATAGGAGATTTCCTTTCAATCATTTTTAGAGTCAGGAGATTTCCACAAGATGAATTATTTTCCATCTACAGTCAATGCCATGTAAGTTGCTGGTCAGCAGATATTGCGCTTACTTTGCCACATGTTACTATAAACCATATAATGCTAGTCAGAACTGTAATTTGCAGGGTTTGATAACTACATGATGACTACAAAGCTGTTATGATCAATCTAGAGAAATGCAGTTGTTTTAAAAAAATAGACTTTCTAATGAAAGCCAGTGACTTTTGTGCAATGGCAAGGTTATCAGCATTGACAGCAACAGAGCAACTTATACTCGAACTGCACAAGTGAGCAATGAGCATGATGCTTTTCTTCAAGTTTATCCTAAATATGACTTTGGAGCCACAAACTTCATTAATAAGTTTGAAATTTCTAATCATGACTTTGACTTTGAGCTTCAAGATTTTAATTGTATAATTGTATAAATAAATAATACATTACATAATGTCTTATCTACTTAATTAAGGATCATATTGTTGATATTATTACAGACAGCAGCCTCTTCAGTATTCACTAATTACCAATTACCATCAATACCAGGCTAAACTACAAATTTCCTACTCATTACTCAATACTGAAATCTTACTTCTAGTACAGTACTAAAAGACATATTTTTTATAACTTTGGAATTGGAATCTCCATTCTTGATTCTTGCAAATCAATCATGCTATTTTTTTTAAAGGAGATGTTCATCTACCGGTAGCAGTAGGGTAGGTATATTCTAGTAGCCTAGGAATCTTGTGGCTCTAAAAATGATGGGACTAATGCATTAATGAACACAGGGTTAATAGGAAACCTAGAAAAGTAGAAATGACAGTCTTTTCCAATAGAAAGTTCCAAAAATTAGTCCATTTTGCAGACGTAATTTAACAAAGGAAAAATTCTTAGCTTGTTCATTTATTTGTACTATTACACTTAGGCCTATATCTATATAGTATTTTTTCTCTTTTCAGCTGAATAATTTTCATTGAGAATTGAGATCAGAGGAGAAATTTTTTTGTGCACATATGATGACATGCATGAGCAGCATGATACGTGATAGGCTAGGCCTACGACCTATCAATCAATTGTGATTTTATTAATCCAACAGACTAACCTTCACTTTGAAATTCTTCCCCGGATTAAGGATCGATGAAACTTGAGCTAGGATACTTTCCATCATCAATATATCCAATCTCTGTAGTATTTTATTTTAATTGACAAGCTGGTTTCAATGGTTACGCTTTACGGGCCATGGGCCCATGGCAACGGGCAATCGAATGACAGAAGCACTTCCAGCTGGTCCTCGACTCCTCGTCGTCCGTCGAGGTTCGAGGGTTCCTGCAAATAGTGTTTAAAGCGGAAGATGCAGCTTGATCGTCAAAGAGTTCCTTTTGATATACTCTGATATAATATATTTTTATCATAATGCTTGTTTTAAAAATGATATGCTTGCAGCATGATAGGTTTATTATGATTTAAAAGTAATTTATATTGTTTTTGCGACAAGTAGATTCATATGCGATCAACTTAATTTAATAGCAGCTGCTTCGAATTTTAGGGATCGCACATATTTGAATCTTATGATGTAAGAAACATTCAAAAAAATATAACTCAGTACTTACTGCAGTGAGTGACACAGCTGTCTCTTATACACATCTAGATGTGTATAAGAGANAACGTGAAGTCACAGACAGGCAGACTGACAGACGGACGGACATGACGAGCGCAATAGCGCCTTTTTTCCATAAATGCGAAAATGCGCTAAAAATGGCAATAATGCAGCGATGATATGGATTAAAATTTGAGAAATGAGATTATGTGATTGTTGGTAAAGCGATTTCGTTGACGTTCCAGTTACTGGGACAATACTAAGACTTTGCCTACGGAGTGAAATTTGCTGTGAAAGAAAGAATCGCTTGACGTTAATTAATGGGTCGCTTAATGAAAACCAATAAACGTAAGTCGAACAGCCTACAGCGTCGATCCATCCCAACTCCTACACCGTATATGTTTACCTGCAAAAACGCATTCACCTGAACCTCGACGCAGATGATAGACTATTTTCAAAATCGGGACCGTGGTCTCCACCACTACGACAAGAACGTGATCGCTGGTGTAGGACACCGCTTGCCTCATCCAGCCGCAACAACAGCACCAAACGAAACGGTTAGGTTTCGGTAGTTGAATCTTTTGCCAACTTGCAGCCAATAGTTATGATGCTAAATATACCACAATTGGTGTTTAATGTTCCGCGAAGAGCATTATTTCACACTTTTACCGCAGCGTTTTCCATTAAAACGGTATAACGGGTAATTTCAGCAACTTACACACGCCTTATTTCGTCAATTCACAACCAAAAATCGTGAGTGCAGTGCTGGCAGAAATGACTTCAATTCCCATTGCGCATTGGAAATCACTGTCCAAAATTTTTTGTTTGCTTCATAATGATAAGAACTCAATAACGTTCAAGTTTGGCTACTACTAGACGCTGGACATCGTCATGTCTAAATGATTATTTAATTATCAACGACTATGCCTCTCGTGCCGTGCATAAGAACTCGTTTTTTAAATACTTTTTCTCATTATTCCTAAGGGAAATCGTATTCCTGTTGGACAACGACCACTTCCGAAAATTTAAAGTCTAATTTTGGACCATTTTCAATGGGACTAACCCAGGTAACGGTAGTGTAGTGTTTGTGCGGTAGGTAACCACACAAAATTACATTAACGCAGTTTAGTCGTGACTTGATTAACTCTACTGTTTTAGTGCTCTGCGTAGTAATAGAATAGTTGTAACCATTCTTCATGAGAATGCCATTTTCAGCTAAAATGGTGAAATGGAAGTCGAACTACTTTAAATTTAACAAAGCTTTTTATTGCACTTAAGCTGTAATTGGCGATGGGGTTTATACTATGTCAGATATCAACGTTTATACCGGTGCATACTAGTATAATGCCTGATGCATTGCCGTCGCTTGACGCCTGGCTTCAAGCATCAACGAAAATATCAGCGTGCATGCTAGTGGCAGATATGAATTATTATATCAGAGAGCATTCTGGCTTCAGACATCAACGATAATAAAGGTATGGATGCATGCGCCAGATATTAACGATTACTGGTTATTTGACGGCAACTTTAGCGTCTTGGCTGATTACTTTGTACCTTAAGCATAAAAGAAATAAGGTCACAATTCCAGCTTGTTTCTTAGCAATCGTGAGCACGTCATGAAAAAATCACTCGCAAAGAATGACATGAAATTCTTTTCTAAAGAGAGGAAAATGTAAGTGTTTGTAATTTTAGAAGTTGAAAGAAATTATTTACAGTTGCTAATTCCAATGTTTGAATTCAAGACTTTCATAACATGAATTCGGAGCGAAAACTTAAAAGTTATTTTACTCGTGGAAAATGTCACACTCTTCAGTAACTTGCAAAGTCTATTTTTTATTGCACAGGATGAAGGGCGCGAGAAACTTCAATTCTAATATCTTGGATTCATGTCAATAAATGAATGAGCTCTTTAATAGGAGAAGGTCGTTCAGTGCATACGAGAGCGAGCGTAAAATATCAATGTAATTTGTGATTCTTCTGCAAGTTTTTCTGCTGCGTTAGAAACTTCTCTAAATAAATTTCTGACATTAGTCAAGTTCTGAATTTTTATCTTCTCCCCTAGCTTTTATAATAAAAGTTAGCTCAACACACTGGTATTTAAACAAAATCTTGCGTGGAGAGAAGACCATGGATGTTTCTTGATTAATATCACTTGCGTCTTCATTGTAGTCACTGCTCCAGGCTAAGAGCATGGAGCTGTCCTCCGTTGGCATGATTTCAAATCTCATGATTGTTGATAAATGCTGCGTTCATGTGTCAAATTCTGTAACAAACTCGCCAGCAACGACAGCGAATCGAATAAATTCAATTTTTCTTGAAGTTCCTGGAAATTCTGGGAAGGAGGAATAAATCAGTGAACTGAATAACTTACATTAGATATGATTGGCAATGTTTAAAATTGTTAAAAGTAAACACAGACTCACACTTGTCGTTGATATCGATCACAAAGAAATAGTGAAAGTGTTCAATAAATACTCTACTGTATAAGCACTTTGACTAACAAATTTGACCTCATCTGAGTAAATAATTTGCAATTTGTCACATAGACATAACTGAATTCTTTGCCGAGCTCGTAGAGGTTTGTTGTACACTAATTATATTATCATACGCCATCTTTGTCTACAGATATATATTCACTGGATATGAAATAATATGAAATAATATCTTGTCATGAAGCAGGGCGCTATGCTGCGCTCTAGAGCTGCCGTGCTGCTGTCAGTGCTGCTGCTGCTGCTGCACTCAACAGCACCACAACCGCAGCATTTACCGCTGCTGATGCAGTACATTCGTTACAAAAATTTCCGATCTCTGAACATCATCGTCGACAGTGAGGCAATACAAGGTATTATACAAAAATATAACTCAGGACTCACTGCTGTGAGCGACACAGAGCGCATTTTCTCGTCGACGAAAACGTGAAATCAAGGACGGACAGATAGACAGACGGACGGACGGACATGGCGAGCACAATAGCTCGCCATTTTCCATAAATGAGAAAATGCGCTAAAAACAGGAAACTTGATAAAAACTAAGCATGAAGTTGACTCATACGATTTAGAAACTTGCAATCAAATTTTCCTCATATTTCGAAACCGACCGAGAAGATTTTTAAATGCCAAATTTTACGACTGCAATTTCACGCTTCAAAGTGAAAAAAAGCAAGGTACCCTAGATAACTGATTTAAGAAGTCAGTTTTTTCTATATGGTACGTGTTAAAAATTCCCGGAAGTACGGAAGTGGACAAGAAATCATAAATTCAGATTTATATCTCTGCAGCTCTCAGCTCCCAGAGCAACACACACGGCAGATAGAGACTGCTTATGTCATTCATGTCAAAACGTTGACCAATATAGGTCAATAATTTAGTGAAAGCAGGAACGGTGGCGATGCCTAATATCGTTATCACAGAATCAGGCAAGCCGAAGTAATTTAAGTAATCCAGGCGAGCCAAAAGATGATGGCGAGTTCTCTTGTCTAACTGCCGAGAGAAGTTTAATTATTGGTAATGCTGACGATTATTATATATAATGACACAGGTGTGACTACAGCTTTTATAACCGACAATAGTATTGTCATATTTATTTATATTTATATTTATCTAAGATAAAATGTACCTAGTTATCTGTCATAAAATGTGAATTTTTTTAATGCATTTGTTATTTAGATAAATTCAATCAAATCAAAATGTCTAAACGAGTGTGATCATTCGTTTACTCCTGCCTCCTATTTTTAAACTTGAAATTGCAACGTTTACAAGCTTTAATGGGTTATAACAATAACTATTTCTTATATTAGGCCTTTCCGTTTTTTAAGCGACTATTCGTTCAATCAGAGTACATAATCTAGCACAAACAGTTCACCTTAAGCACCATTGAAGCACTTAATTAAATTCTGGTCCTTACACAATATACGAGAGGACCTCCTCCATCACCGTGCACAATGCAGTAACATGGTCATCCCGCAACTCCAATGATCAGAGCCGAAGGGGTTGATTACGTACGTAAAAAAAATCACTCGTGCATCCATATACAATAACCAAAAAGCTTTTGTATTTCGGCAAATTATTAAGTTTGATAGTTTAACACAAAATATCTGCCTCCAGATGACGTCCAAGAGAGGCTTGTGCTGCGACTGCTGCGCGGCATCGCAGGCTTCGGGCACGTGGGTGTGGTGCAGCTGAGGTCCGTTTATGACAGCTTTATAATTTAATTTATGACAGCTTTATAACTTAATTTATGACTGCTTTATAACTTAATTTATGACTGCTTTATAACTTGAATCAACCAATCTTTGTCAGAAGTATTCATGAGAACAATTGATAACTTTGCAGCGATGCGGCACACAGCTGGAAACCAGTCAAGGACCAGCAGCAATTCCTGGTCTTCTGGAATACCAGGAACGGGTCGATATACAACTTCTTGCTGAAGGTAAAGCCTCTTTTATTCTTAGTCTGCATATCTTAGTCTTAGTCTGCTTCTTAGAGTATAAAAAATATTGTTCAAAAGGTGATGAAATGCTCTATCGTTACGCTTCCATGCATTCCATAGTCGGACATGTAGTCAAATGCCTGTCTAATAGCTGGCGGTTTCACGGTGTAATAATTTTTTCATGGAAGAACTTAATTTTTTTTATAGAGTCGGGTTTGTAGTTTTTTAATGCACAATCCTTTGAAAATAGAGAGTATTTCTCATTAATAATTTTCTTTTTGTTTTTCTCACTCTGGCCAATCAACGTAGCACCGTGTATTAAAAAAACACGTTTATTATAGATAATCTGTTCATGATTCAGTAATCAGTATTCACTGAAGATATTTGTTTCACTTTCCACTGCGCAGGCAGGTTCAGAGTGGATGTTCTCGGAGCACTACCAGTGGCTCATACTGCTGCCTGAAGATCTCGACCCCATGGCGTGGCTAGGCGGCCTCCGTCTCTACGTCAACAATGAGGTAAGATGGCAACCCTCTTACAGACTAGCAATCATGCTTGCCTATATTTGAAGTATAAGCATAACGTAGAAGCCTTTACCTCTTGAAGTTATTAACACCATTTGTAAATTTGATCATGGTGAAGTATAAATATTTAGACTAGGAACAATATTCATTTGAAATGGACAATTATTTTGTTTATTTATAAATTCACACAGAGTTAGATAAAAATGTTTAAACTGTTTATATATCCACACGGGGTGTGACATAAATATATAGACGAATTTAAATTGCTACTAAGAACATATTCCGGTTGATAGTTCAGTGTTCATTTGCTGCTTTTAGCCCACTGTTAGCTATTAGAAACTTGTTCACATGAATGTCCAAAGCATGAACATCGTTTGATCGTTTGAATCTCTTGGTGTGACAGTGCGTTCATTTAGGATTTTGTGTTTTAGAGTTCATAAATTTAGTATTCTCGGACCAGGAATTTTTGAAGACAGCACGGCAACATCTGAGCGTTACGTCAATACGATAAGCAATTTAGTTTTACCGATACTTCGATTACAAAAGGCTGGTTTACGCTCGTTGTGGTTCCAAAAAGATGGTGCTTTTTCATGCACGGCGCGATTCTCATAGGAAAAGACTCTTGGATTGTTTTCCAGAAAAATGTTCCCCTAAGTTGTGTGTATCTGATTCCTTCGTATGGAATGTAGGTTCCATACGATGAATACTGTAGATTATTTTACACGACGCGCAGATATTTCCTTTCAGAATACTGAGCCCACGTTTCAGTGATATAATTCTTGAAGAATGACACTCAGATAAAATGCTCACCGCGAATGTAAAGATGCAAGACAAAAAACGGTGATGGACCACATGTATACCAGCATCTACAATTTTTCTACATAAACAAAGTATCTAACGGTACACATGCGTACCAATACGTAGTGAACATTTGAATCAACTCCTGATACAGGATTTAATCAGGAGTTGACAAATGGTCATCTACTAGGCTTGGTTTTCGAGGAGAACTTAAAAAAAATGAAATTAAGACAATAACTTGATGACGGAGCAGAATTGTTTAAGATGAATAGTAAGAACATGGCCACGAGGAAGAATATAGACTTACGAATTTTCTACAGGTGGTGTTCTGCCAGCCTCAGGCCGGAGGGAAGTTCCAGTTGTTCGAGGCCTGGACTCCTGGCGACGGCTTCTCATTCCGTAAGCTTGACGTGGCAGAATGGCGACCACAGACCGGCATGCGATTCTACGACGTGGGCTACAAATACGACAGACGACGCGACCTGGGTGGCTTCTTCTTCCTCGTCACCACTGGCGATGAGGTCACTGGAAAACTCACATCATAAATCACGAAAATAATTAATGCATAAGAAACGATTAGACAGCTTTGCGGTAGTGATCGAGATGGCTAATTCGGTTAATTCAGAACTGTATCGAGAGAAAAAATTGACAGAGACCGCAAGAATTTCCGACTGAAAGCTCCTTAACAATAAGCAATTACTGGACACGAGAAAATCCTCCAGGCAACAGTATTATTAAGATCACATATTTATTGTCAAATATACCACGTTGAAGTAAGTCATGGTCTGCAGTGTGGTCACAGAAGACGGAATTAGATGCATTGTTTGTACCAAACAAATGATCACATGAAATTACGTTGTATGTGCGTGAGTGAAATACCTACATGAACGTATTTGTCTGAGCCAGTTGCCGGGTGACACCGAGATCAACCACAATGTGACCACGCAGAACTTCTTGCGTGGCTACTCCGTGGACCTCTGGCACGTAATGCAACAGCGCCTCAACTTCACGTACGTGGAATCTGTCGAACTGTTCCTATGTTTGAAACTTGAAGGCTTCTTTATTCTGTTCGAATTATTTTATACATTGCTAGAGTGCAAATGGCCACCTTTGTACAGAGCGATTTATTCATCGGAGTGGCCGACACGGGCTTGCCGAGTGGTTAAGGTTATCAATATTTGAGATGCGAGTTTTAGTTTCGAAACACGGAGGTAGTTGTTAAACTTCTGCGACGACTCGACTCAGCGCCATCCTAAGCATGGCTTGATTTTCAACGCTCATATTAGTAAATATTATAACACTGCTAGACTGGTTCCCACTCTATCCTCATGATTTTTTTTCAGTTTTCTAGATTATATCATGAAATCACAGTCATGGTAGTTGCGTATGACAATACTTGTATTCGTAGCCAGTCTGCATCCTTTTTGATGAGGTTGCGTGTATGTATTTTCAGGAATTATGAAGCTCTCATACATTACGTTTATAGTTGCATATCCGAAAGGTCAAGGAGCCTTGTTCCAAAATGGCTCGAAGACACTCGTGTTTTGATCACGGTTGTCAGAAATGGATTACCAAGCCATACGTATAGGTATAGGATACAAGAATTACGAACTAGTTTTACATTTTCCTTAACCAAACAACCAGAATTACCGCATATTGATTAGGTTTGAGCGTACTCTTCCGTGCTGCTCGTATTGATGTACCTATTGACACTTATGCGCAGGTATAAGGTGCGCAAAACCCTCTTCGGGGTGCTCCAGCCTGACCAGGTCACCTGGAACGGCATGGTGGGGGAGCTGCAGGCCTCCAGAGCCCACGTGGGCATCGCTCCCCTGCGCATCACAACCTTCAGGCAACGGGCCATCGACTACACCATACCCACGAAAGTTCTGCAGTGAGTAGCATTTTACGCCTTAGTAACACCACTTTCAGGCAACTTGCCAATAACTACACCATACCCACCAAAGTTCAGCAGTGGGTAGCATTTCATTTTGCGCCCCAGCAACACCACTTTTAGGCCACTTGCCATCGACTACACCATACCCACCAAAGTTCCGGCGTGAGTAGCATTTTATGCCGTAGCAACAATACCTTAAAGGCTTAAGGCAATCGGCCATCGACCAGTGAGTCACTACACCATACCCACCAAAGTAGCGCAGTGAGTTGGATTTATTGTTAGAAGATTACGTCATGAGACTGCCATCGGCTCCTTTAATATCTGTTTTCATTTAAACGTGGATGAAATTGCTTGCTAGGCTTACTTACGTATTAATTACTTCTCCTTTATTTATTTGTAATACCGTTATTTATTATGTCTTCAGTGTGATTTTTCTGCTTGATTCAAATGATGCGACCGAGTTTTCATATGCATTTCTAGAATTAGTGTCATGTGATGTCATTGTTTTTGATTTATTCCAAATACGATGCTGAAAGGAAGAATATTCGAATATACATTTTAAATAAGAAGTTGAATCCAAAGATAATCAATGATGTCGAAAGACAATGAATGCTTGTTATTATAAGGGATTTATTCGATTTAACGTCTGTTCTTACGCTCATATAAGAGTTGTTAAAGTGTTGACATGAATAGAAACCGGATCTACCTGCGCCAGCCTGACGTCGAGGCGAGTTGGAACTTGTACGCCGAGCCGTTCAACGCCATCCTCTGGACCTGCGTTCTGGGCTTTATATTCGTCGTCGGTAAATCAGAACTATAATCTTCGTTCACGTATATTTCTTCAGCAGATGGCTATTTATAGTTATCGGCTACTGACTCAAATCAAAACAATTTTTTGCTTTTCGTCCGTTGTGTCAAGAATTTTAGTCTCGTTGTGAATTGACGTCATTACGTCAATATAATTTTGGAAAATCTGGCTTCAAGCAAACATTTTGCTAATGTTTGCGAAATTCCTTAGTCATACGTCGTGCACACACAGGAATTGTGAATAAGTGTACACAGCACACTGGCGTAAACACCGCACAGCCGTACACACATAAAAGTGAATATTGTTCATTTCACAGCTCTCAGCGCCCGCCTGTTGCACGTCGTTGCCGCCAGAGCTCACCTCACGAATGAGGTCGTCTCTTCCTCTGACGTGTTTTTCGACGCTTTCGCCAGCCTCGTCCAGCAGTGTGAGGGAAATATTTTCTAAGTGAATATCATAGGAAATTTTAATGTAGAATACATCACAGCTTCTTAATCAATATTTTTCACCAAAACAACAGAACTTAAAACGTATTAAACATACCAAACATGCAGCATAGCATCCTAAGACCATTGAACGACCTTTACCATCTTGGCAATTTTTTACATATATAATTTGGCACTTCGTCACCCACAGCTGGCACACTGAACCCGGAGACGTCTTCGGAACGTCTGCTCTGGTTTTTCGTGTACTGGACATCAGTTCTGTTGTTCACGAGCTACTCAGCGGTGCTGATCGCCCTGCTCACAACTGTGAGGCCAACGCTCCCCTTCACTGACTTTGAGTCTCTCCTGCTCAGGCCAGACTGGAACCTCGTGATTGTGCAGAACCGCGCGCTCAGCGATTACCTGGCGGTCTGTCGATATTGGGTGCCACTTGGGTTTCGGTCTGTCGACATTGGGTGCCATTTAGAATAACCATGAGACCGATGATGAAGTTGTGTTCTGAAATTTCTTAACGAATAAAAGTATTGTTTGTCATGTGTTTAGCACAAATTTTTTTTACGTTTTCTAACACTTGTATTCTAGTTTATTTTCATTTTCGATTGCAAGGTGGCATAATTTCACATAAACTTCAAGAGGCAATTTCAAAATAAGTTCCCGGAATCTCCCTTTTGAGTCATCAGTGACAAAAATCCATGAACTTAGAATTAAAGACTATTATAAATATTTTTAATCGTCGCAGCTCGCCCCAGAAGGATCTACCTTGAAGAAAGTCTGGGATAAGCACGTCATGAGTGACCCAGCCAAAAATAGGCCCGTTGCAATGGACGCTGCTGTCGCTCTCGTGTTGCAGGGTATGTTCTCAACTCAAAAAATAATTTGATCGTAATAAATTCAGGTATTCAAAAATCCTTAGCGGAAGTTTATTATGTGTCGCGATTAAAACTAGGAGTTCAATCAATTTATAGTTTTCAGAGCCTAGTGACGCAAATAGTCAAAGCTAACGTGATCTAAGCGAAGCCTAGCGAAGGTTTGCCTTGGTCGTTAGCTGCCGCTTCTGTTAAGAATTCATTTCAATAATGCCTTTATTTTATATCTTGTGGTCAATCCTAAATCCAGACATTAATGAAAGGACGAGCTCACTTGTCGGACTAGCTACATGCGGGTTAATCTTTATCTGCTTTTGTAAATTTGTTTACTAACCGATATGATTCGGCCAATTATCGCACTTGAACATTTTTATGATGGCCGTTTCTTATTTATGATAACATTAAATACTCCCTTCGTCATTAATGGATATTTATTTGCAAGAACTGCCATGGCTTAGCTAGGCTCCTTCGAATCAGAAGGCTCTTTCCAGAAGTGCGATGCCGGCAGTAATTATAATATAAGGGAAAATGATGATTTTAATCCACTCATCCACTCTTTTGTAATGAAACCGTTTATATTGGCTGTTTAATACTGAGAACCGTATTAAATTATGTCGTTTGCGCTGCAGGTAAACACGCCCTCTTAGTGGCTGAAGAAACAATGGCTGTAGCGATGCACATGATGCCAAAAGAAGACGCGTTCAAAATCATCCACACTGGCAAGTATTTTTTCAATTCCCCGGCTGCCTTTTCTGTGCCCAAGAACTCGCCTTACCTGGAACTCTTCAACCACGTGTAGGTTTATTCAAAGCTTTCCCATAAATACCATTTGAGAACACTCTGAAATTAGTTAACTTTTAAGTCTCAACTAACCACGCACCATTTTTCACCTGATAAAACCTGCCACTTCTCATCAGAGTCCACACTTCACATCGGATACTCATATCAAATATTAATCCATCCCTCACCAGTGCATGTTTTAAATATTAACCTATATTAATATAAACACATATTATCTGCATATTCGTTCACACTAACTTATTAGAAGGTGACCCAGTCTGAGCAGGATGCGTGAGAGCGGCCAGATGGGGCGGCTGCTGAACAAATGGAATCGTGAGCTGGTGCAGCCCCCGTCTGACATCTACCCGTCCCCTGGCCTCACTGAGGTGATGTGGGATTACAAATGTGACGTGGGATTACAAATGTGATGTGGCATCGCAAATGTGATGTGTGATTACAAATGTGATGTGGCATAACAAATGTGATGTGGCATAACAAATGTGATGTGGCATAACAAATGTGATGTGGCATAACAAATGTGATGTGTCATAACAAATGTGATGTGGGATAACAAATGTGATGTGTCATAACAAATGTGATGTGGCATTACAAATGTGATGTGGCATAACAAACGTGATGTGGCATAACAAATGTGATGTGGCATAACAAATTCATAACAAATGTGATGTGTGATTCCTAATGTGATGTGTGATTTCAAAGGTGATGTGTCATAACAAATGTGATGTGTGATTCCTAATGTGATGTGAGATTTAAAAATGTGCTGTGTGATTCCATAAGTGATAATTAAGTGATTTTGAATGGGATGTATTGTTCCATATATGAAATGTGATTCCAAATATGATTTGTGTAACTGCAATATTCTATAACTCTAATGTGATATGTTATCTCTACCTGTGGTAAGAAGTTACAATTTCGTACTTTTTATAAGTCCAAATCTTATTCAAGCTCTTCTGTTGACACTGATGACGCAGTCACGATTGTCGTTATGTGTAGCGAGGCGTACGATTAGATGAATACTATACAGCCGACACTAAGTTGAATATCTATTCTATTTACTAACATTTTATCTGTGTTAGAATGAACTATTCCGGGTCAAGTAAAAATATTTTATATTCTATTCCGCATTAAAATGAAAATTTTGATAATGCTTTTTAATGTTTTTTCGGATTACGGAAAATCCGATCTGATTTTCCTTTAATCAATGTTTGATTATTATTATTATATTAAACAACTATTTCGTCTTGTGTTAGACGTTCGTGCTGTTCCTGGTGCTGGGCGTGGGGATCCTTGTAAGTTGCGGCATATTGATAAGTGAGCGAATCATCGTGGCCAGATCCGCCCCCCGTGCCACGAGGCCTCCCTCCCTGGACCACTCCACTACGTGGGTGCCCACAACCGCGCGGTGAGATCATGACATTACATAACATAACATTATCGGTGTTGAATAATAGGCCGTGTTGGCTTGTCACCGAATCTTACAATGCTGTTGACTTGTCTCTTGGAGATCTGGGACTTGTCTTTTGATGAGCTCTATTCAAAACTGACGTGTGAGCTAACGTATAGCTGCCACTAGAGGCCAAGCCAACGCCGACGCCTATGCTTTTATATTTCAGTTTAGTTGCGATGAATCTTAGAGGCAGAGTTTAAATTTTAGCATTAACTGCACATGAAAATATTCATAACCAAGAGTAAGTTCGGAATATGTGACTGATGATTACATTTGCGAAGATTACCTACGCCTCTTTTGCAAGGAGCTACTGAAGCTTTTCATTATTGCAGAAGTCAACCAATTAATGCTGTTAAAAATCAATTAATGCGTGTTACAGGCCAAACATAGGACTACGGGCTCCCTAACAAAAACTATCGCGACGAGATGAAGATTCAACAAAGAAATGCCTACGTACGAAGCATACCGACGCTGCATGTGGATCTCACGGGACACAAAATATTTTGGGTGAATTTCCTGCACTAAACCTGAGCTTCGAGTTCTTTTGTTCGTTTGGCCGCGGTGCTAAAGCAAGTGATAATAATGATCCAATAAATAACAATCATAACTAAACAGTAATCAATAATCTGACATTGAAAGTACGCCTTAGGAATGAAATATCGTGGACGGTCCGCCAATTGCTTCCTGCTGAAGCTGATCTCTGGAATTTATGTATCGTTGGGCGCGACAAAATATACGTCACAAATGTACAGATAATGAAACACCTTATGGAATGATATGATGACGCTTCATTATCATTCATTTCCGGTAAGATATGGTTGTGGAAATTCAGTGGAATAAATTTTAAACAATCAACTTGAAAACAACGGTGGATATAACGGTGGATATCCATCAAATTTAGTACTAAAGTATTTCAAATTACAACACAATTGAAAATGCAGAAACCTAAATTTATGAATTCAAATTACAAATTTCTCCGGCTTATAACTTTTATTGACCTCGAATGCAATTTTTTCATATTCGGATTTTCATGTGGATGCAATCGAATATCGATCATTGCCAAACTGCAATACAACGTAATGAAACACTTATATCGCTGGTGAAATTACCGGTCGAAAGGTTCACTCGTATATGGAATATGTCTTAGATTTGATTTAAAAAGTTTCATGTTAACGATTGATTTGTTATTAATATTGGTTCAAATATTGACACATGAATTGTATTGCATAATTGCCAGTTCAAATCATTCCCACTACCTGGCTGCTGGTCTGTGTCAACTTAATCGTTTGCGCAAGAATTCACTGAATCATGAACACCATTGAATCATATTCAGCAGAATGCTGATTTTGAATAAACTGTAGAATGGAAGTTGATATTTGGACTTCAAAAGTTAGTTTTAATTTACTAAAAGAAATCTCATTGCAACAAAATTCAGTTAATCGACCTCAAGTCTCATTAAATTAACTAAGAAATCACTCGCTCAGGACTAAAAAATCGAACAAATATTACTCACTGATTTCTCCTTCCATATTAATTTGTTTTAGACATTATAAACTGGATTTAGATTACAAGTAATATCGAATATCATTCTTAATCTATTGCAAACAGCGCCTTGTCTGCATTATTCAAATGAAGGCGATAAATTACAACAGGAAAACAATAGCCGTTGTATCTTAGTTACAACTCTTATAATACTCTGTCCACTTTTGATAAAGCATATAGGGCGGTTGGTCATGCAATGTTCCTAAACTCTATTCACCCTGAAATTCATGGAGTTTTCATCACCGTCGAACACGCAGTTGCCGGCATTTTTTCTGTCCTTGCAAGAAACCACCAAGAATTCTGGCGAATTTGTTTCAGTTTTCGTATTAGTACATTGAAAATCGTTTGAGCTAACTGTGGTTTCTATTCACTAGCCCAAGAATCACTAGGATGCGAGGATGGACGATATTGATATCATAACGAAAACGATTGGAATTATCAGGAGTATAGCAGAACCGAGCGCTGAAAACCTGAAGATTGTTGTAGACAAAGCCGTGTAGCTCGTCATGCTCCTGAGCTCATCGTCACTTCCCAACGAAAAGCACCTCACAGCCTTGGAAAATCTACTTTAAGCGTTGATATTGTGCTGGAAAAATTTCAGCGAAGTCGAGATTCGGAGCCTACAGATGTTGCTGCTTCAGGTCGGACAAGCGGTGTTCCTGTCGTAACTTGCTCAGAAAGCCTTGGCGTATGATGTTGAAGTGTACAGAAATCTTGTCGTAAATATCATCTACTACTTAGTACCAATCTACTGCACTCACGAAACAATAATGGCAGCTTATGATATTGTATCCTTGATGATTGTCCCAATTATGAATCGAGTAAATGAAGAAGAAAACCATGACTTAGCTCGAAGCTTTGTTCGTCGCTTCTCGTGCATAATATCCACGTCTCTAGCAGCCAGTCAAGAAAAATTTAAAAAGGATTATTTTGATTCCTTTGTCACATTTTTCAATGCAATTAATGTCAGAGAAGAATCATCGCTTCATGTTCTCGAAATTGCTCGTCCGATACTGAAAGTTTGTGCCACTGTCCCTCGAACTGCGAGCCCGTAACAACTTTCTTAATTGATTTCTAAGTTCATAAGCATATCTTTACAAGCCAGGCAGAACAATTCAACGAATAAATGCAATTTTTCATCGCAGGATTACTCGAACAATGTCCTCTTTTCTTCAGAAATTTTACTCGATCTGATGCTGTGGCAGAATTAGTGTTAAAATAATGGTTGCCTTGATTCAATCAAAGAATTAGTGACATATTTATTCCAGTTTCTCATAGACAACAATTTCCAACAATCGATTAACTTAAGAAGTTAATTATTCTCTTCAATCGGAACCTGCTTTGCTCATGAACCACTGGTTCGTCACCTTGTATATTTATCGCGAGACCAAAAATGTTTAATTGATTTCAACGGATCGTCAGGCGAGACAGCAATGGAGGTGCAGATGGAAATTCACCTTTTGAAAGCTGCGTTCACTTTACGGTCGGCACGAGTGTTGAGGGAGGCGGCAGCGGCGTTTGTTTCTGAGTGCAACGCTGCCGAATAAATTGCTGAGTTATTGTTCGTTGCTTGTGAATTTTATCGAGGATCTGCCATAAGTATTATTCTAGCAGCTGAGAAAACGCTTCTTCAAGAGACTACTAAGTCAAAAAATATTTTTGCAATTGACGAACTTCAGTAAATAAATGTCCCGGTGAATATCAATTTCCGTGAAGACATTGGTACCGGTTAGGAAAAATTAAGTGTGGACGCAATTTTAGCTGCATCTGCCGAATATCGAAGAGAACTTCTTGGTTACGAACAGTGGGAGATAAATAATGAAAGTTTTCCTGATGAACAACTACGGCATTACCTTCATTTATCTACGGTCGAACTCCATGACTTAGGAGTGGGCTCCGTACGCCGAGCTCTATCTGGTAAATGCGATTTAGATGAAGCGTTTTGTTTAGCCGCACCTCTTGATGCTGATGAACAGAAGTTTTACTCAAGGGACTCCGATGGCGACATTAGCGAGGAGAGCCAAGAGTCGAGTTCAAGTGGTAGTGATATCAGGAACTTATTTTATGAACCGGAAACTAATTTCACTGCAGTGCTTGGAAACTCACATGATTCTTGGAATTTACAGTAAGATTCTCAGTATGAATACTCCTCGCCGGAAGCGCTTGAAAACGACAATGAACTTTGCAGAAAATACTTGAGTTGTCCAAGTTCAGATGCGACGGATCACGTTCTAGCAGGAAATGACCTTCGTAATTTAAATTTCTCGGAGAATGAAAAAAGTGCTCATTTTCCTGCGAACGAAGAGCAATAATTCACCAGTCCACTCGCTCAGGACTAAAAAATCGAAAAATTATTACATGAGGATCCTGACATAGAGAATAAAACCTGGCCTAATCACACTGACATGTCTCCAGTTTCTGAGAATATGCAGACCGATTAATGTTAATCACCAATAAGAAGCAAAGAAATTGCTAAATTTCTTGAATATTTCACTTGTAGCCGCCCTTCGCTTCGACGGCTGGCCCTGCATGTGGCTCGGTTGCTCAGTGATCATCAGGAGGTCGGTTGACGCGACTCATGAACTCGTCCTTTCTTTGACTCATCTTGAAGATCTATAAAAAAACTGTTGCAAAAAGTCCGAATATGCTACGAAATTCCCATATGTTTTACTTGCCCATTGTATTATATCCCTATTAATAATAAATATGAAGAGTTTTTTTAGATCTCATCAGAATCATCATATAATAGAATTTAGCACTCGTCTCAAGTTATGCGAAGATATGATGAACATGCGTATTTGGCGGAAGCAATTTGCAGTGTCCAACAACATTTTTAAAATCGGAAAAATCAAGCATTTTATTCGTTGTTGCCTCACGTAACTTATCCATGCGTATGCAAAATAGTATGATGTTACTAAATACATAAGAACTGATAGCAAAATCAGAGACATCAGTTATTTGCAAATGGCAGCGTGGCGAAGGTCAGATATATGAAGAAGCGAAAATATTCCTTGATAATTAAATCATGTGGAAAGATGGACCTTACGGTCCGATCAGTCTAAAAGCTTTAGCATGTTCTGGTAGGCCTGCTTAGCTTTTTTAGATCTCATTAGAATCATCATATAATAGAATTTTAGCACTTGTCTCCAAAGTTGTGCGAAGATATGATGATGGACATGCGTATTTGGCGGAAGTAATTTGCAGTCTCCAACAACATTTTAAAAATCGGAAAAAAGCGTTTTATTCGTTGTTGCTTCACGTAACTTATCCATGCGTATGTAAAATAGTATGATGGTACTAAATACATAAGAACTGACACCAAAATCAGAGACATTAGTTATTTGCGAATGGCAGCGTACAGAAGGTCAGATATATGAACAAGCGAAAATATTCCTTGACAATTGAATCATGTG